GATAACTCGCTAAAATGGGTTCTTCTCAACACAGTAAGCGGTCAGATAACAAGCGATGTAATGTGGAGGTAAGGTGAAGTATTTTTGTTGAGAATTTGACCGTATCTTTTTCATACCTAGGAGTAGTCGTAAATATTCCCATACAAACTCTTAAAACTTCGCCATGACTCTTTTTTCGCAAGATAACCACCTCAGAGCTGGAGCTTGGGCCACCTGTGATCCGATCAGCCATGTTTGATTTGGAGTTGGTGTGGACGGTGGGGGTAGGGGGCGGGGGAGGGGTGAAAAGGCTGCCTGGTGTTTTGTTTTTCATCAGCCTCTTCGGGCACCTGATGAATCACCACTTTTCCGACCCCTAAGCACGGCATGTAACGCATAACATCACACTCTTGTCACGCAACGCATCAAACAAATAATTTGCTACATGTTCCAGTCTATGATACCTTTCAATTTATTTGAGGACTGCTTTTTATGGTAGAATTAAAAAGACATTCATTCTTACGTTTGCAGTCTTCAATAGCTTATTAAATTATGATTATAAAACATATGAAATAGCAATTTTATTAGTAATCTACGTTACTTTCATCTTTCATTCCGATTTGTAACCTATATAAACTTTGTAAAATTTATTAAAATTTGTAAAAGATTTATAGACTGTTTTGATAATTTTATCGGTCCGTTATCGGAATCAATTTCATAGTTTTTAAGGGATCAAATCTTATTTCCCGTAGAGATCCAAGGGGTTTGCACCAATATTGGTCTAATATTACAAATCCTTCTGATTAGGGTTCTGGATAACAATCAACGAATAATCCCCGGACGGAGCTACCATGATCTCATACTTTCGTGAACGCACGCGAAGAAATTTCAGATCGTTGAGCGGGTCGAGATCTCGAACACAACTTCGTGCCAAACTCGTTAAGTGCTGAAAATTGCTCGCGTAAAGCTGTGTAGTTGCGTTATCCATCGTGGACTTAATTGCAAGGCCTTGTGGGTTCAGTACAATCAGACCGAGGACACCTGGGTGAGAGTTGATGCGTTTCAAAGTATCTTCTACATCTCCTGATGGTGCGGGTTCCATTTCTGTGTCAGAAATCTTGGAAACTATAAGGGTAAAGAGAAATGTTTAATAGTACAAAAAGGGAAAAAAAGAGGCATTAAAAGGAGCAAATTAAAAAGTGTCGTCTTTCGAAACCTGTAAATAACATAATTAAAAGGTTCTAAAGGTACACAGCTCGCAAGGCAATCGATACTTTTCATCCTTTTTTGTTGCTCTTCTAAAGATTATTAAATCATCTATTTTCTAAGCATATTTCATGGAGCTTACGTGAGTGTAAGACCAAGAAGAAACGCGAATCACACTTTCCTTCTTTTACACGTGACACCCCTCACGCTGATCTGGCGTCTGCCCTCACTCAAAGGGGAAAAAGGGAGAAAAAACTTGGTCTGCAGGCTTAATGGTAGTAGCAGGCTACTCTTGAAAGGAGCTCTTATACTATAATTAAGTCCAGCAGATATAGGCTTCTATCAATTGGAGGTATACCAAAGTTGGTTAAAGATGGTAGATACAATATGAAAGGCTGGGGGGTGGGGTTTGTAATATAGGTCAGAACATCCCTTCACACTCAGTATCCGCCCCTTCTCTCTAATCCCTCTTGATGCATTTCAAATGTTTTTAATGTCTTCGTCGTCGATTATTTTCATGAAAATCTCAATCACCCATTAATTTCTTTTTGTAGAACGTTTAGCCACGCTCAAAGAATTGCGTTACACTTCAAAGATTGCGTTACCTGGCGTGGGAAAACATTCAGGTGTTGAGATTCACCTCATATGTGACGCTAAAATTTCCTCACTGGGTTAATTTCGAAGAACAGAATATTACCTATTTAAAAATAAACTTCTATTTTTTCCCGAAAAAAGATTCCGATAAATATACATTCTCTTCTTTCAATGAAAAAGCGACGTTCCCTTTACCGTATTCTAGTAGATAACTTGCTTCGACTAGTTTCAGTTACATCGGCCAAAAGTGTTGTGTTGCCTTCAAATTCAGGGAAATAAAATCGTAAATTAATAACGGGGGTAATATATTAATAACAATGGCGACTTCGTCATCTGAAGTGACCCCGGATTGCCTGAAAATTTGATTTGATTTGATCAGAAAAAAAAACCCTATTTTAGCGACTTGGGCGAAATACATCGCTCTGAAAATGAACTTACGTTTTCGAATTCAAAGCTGAAACATGAACATATCAGGTAAATGCAGTCAACAGAAAACATAATTCAAAAGATACTCATCAAAAGAATCATTGAGACGAAGTCGTGGCTGGATCGCCACTATGAATTGGAAGGGACTGTTCGTATTGTTTTCCTGTTGTTACGACATTTCAATGCATTTCAAAGCAAGGCTAGCAAATCTGATGAGTTTCGGTTTTCAATAGCCTGAAAGATCAACTTCATGGTCATTAAATAATCCTGTAACTCCTTCGTGAATCAAAAACTCAAAGCCACAGCGATTTAGTTATGTTTTACAAAGCTCACGAATTATTGACAGAAGGATTTTAAGATCTCTACATTGGAATACGACACTCCTTATGGTTTGAAACACAATTTAGTCATTTAACCTCGTCGAAAACTGTAGCGTATGTTTGTTACCAGAAACAGGAATTTTCTTATATACTTACGAAGCAAGCTCCTCGTCGGCTGGGAAAGCGTTCACAGGTTATCTCGATCGATCGAAGCCAGCGATGTTAAACAACCTTGGATCCCAAAGTCAAATATACGCGAAAGTGATTCAGTTTGAAGAATATGTTTGGTTTTCAAACGTTGTTTACAGTGTTCCTTCGATACGACGGAAACGCGTTTTGACATTTGTGGAATGCATAGGACACTAGCGGTTTCAATAGATAATTATTGTTCATATTTGTTAATTCCATTTGACACTAAAGGATGCGGATTATTGGCTGTTTCATCACGAAAAAAAATTAGTTACTATCTTATATTAACTATTCAATTAGAATAAGTCACGCCATGTTATTTTTTTAACCATCTTAAATAATGCTTTTCCGCAGCTAAGCTTTATTTCATAACTCAAATATTTTGAGGCAATTAGAAAGTATATTGGATGACGACGTTTGCCGTGAATGAAATTACCATAATTAAGTTTTTCACGGTTATGATGTAGATGCATAAGGAGGGGGGAGGGGGCGGGCGTGGGAGTGGGGAGAGGCAAGAAGGTGTCATAATATAATAAGCGGTTACCAACGAAACCATACTTTTTCCATGCGAAACCACAAAACACAAACTAACGTATTCACGGAGTCGGATCACACTTCTATCACAATTCTTACGGCAGCTTTAAACAGCACACGATCTAAGAAGATCGCGGGGTTGCGAAAAGAAATTAGCCTCTCCCTCCCTCCCTCGCCTTCCTATCCCCCTCCTCGACATGCATCACAGACGAATTCATATCGACAGGCACTGGAGCCTAAGGTCATTATTTGGGGTAAGTACGTCATGTATGGGGAATTATCATCTCCAATACATATTATGTCTTATACTTTTCAAACATACAATGTCCTATACTTTACATATAATATCCCCCATATGCAATTTCCCATGCATGACCTACTCAAGTTATTTGGCGACCATACAGCTGCGAAGGAGCTCAAATGACCCTGAGCAAGATTTTCTCACCACCAGTCCCCGACGCGTTTTCCTTTGGAATGCAACAGAAAAATGAAAATAGAAAACTGTGTCCGAAAGGAAGAGAACCGAAAAGCCATTTTTTTTTTAACGAACGTGGAGACTTAACAAAGCAGATAATTTGTTGACGATGAAATCGGTTGATGTGGATTTCTTGATAATTGGGCCTATCCGGATGGACTGGCGTTAATTTCAACTCATGTATGTGCGAAGTATTGAAATGTAGTGTCGGGATTCGTTATGCAAATTTCGTGCCGTTAGCACGGCCTAAGGAGAGTACGTTTTGAAAACTCACCACTTAAACTTTGTGAAATTCCCTTGAAAATAAAAAACGGACACTGCAATACCACCAAAATGTCGTCTAGACTTGTCTTTATTATTTACACATAAAAATATAAGCAACCACTGACATGCTTCTTTACATAATACCTCACAAATTTGTTCTGCAGCTCTGTCAAACCGTACTAGAAACAAGAAATTTTAACACACTATCTCACTTGGGACAGTCGTATGTCTGTCGACACAGGACTCAACTATCTAAAGTCCTAATATAAGACCAAACATTGCTTGCAGAATTCGTCTCAAAACAATATAAAATACTACGTAACAATTTACAAAATAGAAAATCAATTATTCGCCTGCTAGGTCGGTCAAAGAAGAAATGATTTAGTTGCCCCAGTAATCGATGATTTTTTTTTCCTAATTCTGTCAGTTTGGAAAAAAGACAAATATGTTCTCCTAGTTTGTTAATTTTCAATTAGATGAAACATCCTCTCCCGTAGATAACCTACAGGTATCAGTCAACAAAGATCAATTATGAAGAATACCAACTGACTGATAAAGAGCTTTTCGATTGAGCGTCGTAAAACCAACGTAATTACAACGGCCAATCAGAAGAAAGAAAGTTACACTGAAGAGCCAATGAGAACAAGCTAACCATCGAAATGGCGGGAAAACGCGGCGACCAAGTCGTGTTTAGTGTTCGTTTCTCATCTAATTGGTTAAGAGATTGGCACGAGTTTTCTAGATCAATTGCAAAGCAAAGTGAAATAAAACCCAATGCAACCCCGGAATACTTTCGACACTCAATTGAAAATTACTCTAAGGGAACTCAATCAAACTCGTGCCCTACTGTTGCGCGAGTATCGAATTTTTTGATCGGTTTAGTCGATCAGTATTAATCAGTTAGTTATGAATGTTTGTTATAAATAGGACTGTGGAGATAATTGTTCATAAGCCGAAGAGATAAGAACACCTTCATGTTCTGCAGAGATTAATTTTTAACTTTCTTAGACGTATTATTTACGCGAACTATTTTAAATTACTATGCAATCTACCACATTACAACATCATGGAAAAAGAATCGCAGTTCACCATCCACTAATACCTGGTGAAAAAAAACACAGTTTCCCCGCACTGTGAAAAATTCCATTACTATAATGATGCTTTCTACTGTGTGACATGAAAATAATTTTGCTTTACGCGAACCAACCAGTTCAAAAAATTATCATAAATTATTCAATGAACAACGCGGTTTTGTCGAACGCAAACTGTATTCGAGAATTCTCTCATAATAAAGCATTTACATCCTAGCCTGCGTGTAGCCGTACCCTCCCTCCCAAGAAGAAATGGAAGGGTTCTGTTTCTCCTTGAGGGGAGAAGGGAGGAGGGTAAGACAACACATAGGCTATTAAATCCACATTGACAGCCTCTACCTGATTCACTACAATGGAAATCGTCCAGGTAAAAAAATCTCACGCGAAAGGTTTGCGTGTAAGGTGACGGTCTCGCGTCACGCGTGACAGTAGTTCCTGTCTAAATTGCCTTACCAAACGCTAGTTTATACCTAAACCTAGCGCTACAGTCTATTTCAAACTTGTCTATTAATTGTCATTTAAAAAAACTACGACACAATTCAATTACGAAACTAAGCAGTGAGGTGTCTACATATTATACGCCACGTAGATAGGATCCAACTGGTCCCCCAGGAACCCGTCCCTCAGATGCATCCGTTGTTTCTCTCCGCGAGAATTGATCGGGACTACACCAGGGTCGACCACTACCACCACCCCTACGACAAGTTGCTGTTCATTCAGTACGGATGTCGTCACCAGCGGAACCACGTCAAGTGCCTCGCGTTCATCTGCATCAAGCTCCACTGCTACCACAAGTAGGTTTGTCATCGTGAAGACCGCACTAGGGAGGGGAGGGTAAAAGAAAAATTAAATAAATGAAATAAAAGAAAAAATGTGATGGCCAAAAAGTCATTATTTTATACCCAACGGCCCGCAACTAAGGTGACTTTTTCCATTTTATCTGCAACGAAGCGATGGATAAATGCAACAGGAGACAAGACACTCAAGTGCGAGGGTATCACACTAACCTTTCACAGATTGAGCGATGACATCTCGTCACTGTGTTCTCGATATCTACCGGGTGATACCTCATACCACGCAATATCATGGTTTCTTCAAGAGGGCCAACCACAAATAACGCGTCATGCCGGGCTGTTGAAAAATAAAAGCAACAAAAACATTTAAGCGACAGAAATTACAAAAAAGCGGTTACATTTCAACTTAGCTGTTTAGCGTCTGCGCAAGTAATCTCCCGCCGAAGTCATTAAGTGACGCCGTTTTAAACCGTTTACTTTTTTTGCGATAAAGCTCAAAACAGATTGTCAAGTCAACAGGATAACCACAGCTAAATTAACTGAACTTCGTGTTCGAACGTTTCAATTGTTTGCATATTGCGCGGTCGTTCCTTTGGTTCTCCTATGAAATTTTGAACAGGAAAATTGGCGCGCGACTGGCCAAACTCAAACCAACTGCACATGCGCAACGGGATCAATAACTAACAAAGAAATGTGTAACATCTACATGGGAATAAAACTACTCAGATGTTAAGAGTGAAAGGATAGTAACCGTTAAAAAAATTATTTAAGTAAAAGCTAGCCGTGTTCAATAATGTTTGGGGCATTTTGTAGCATTGAATATGAAAATTGCTGCAACGAGTAGTTGAAACATTCCAATTTTAAGTACGTCAAGCATATCAGACTGGACTACGAGCAGTCCCTGCTTTTCGGTGAAGTCCATCGTGCGAGTCAATAACAGTCAGTGAAAAAAAAAAATAGGTGTCAGCACGCCACGCAGAACCGTGGAAGTAAAGCGCATGAAAAGTAGGCGCCTCACTCCTTGAACTCCATGTGGTGCGCTAAAATGGAATATTTTTTTGACTAGCGCGACGGACTTTGCTGATAAGGAGAGACTGCTCGTAGTCTAATTTCAGACTGCAGCAAATTGCACAACAAGGAAAACTGCTTTGTAGAACCACTTTGAGAGCTTTTTGTTTGAAAGTGCAAAGTTTATCTTAAAGTTCCTAAAGCTTAATCATACATGCAGTGTATCATCCCACCTCCATCTGTCTGCGTGAAATCTGTTCTCTTGATAAATCCCAGGTATCCCGTTCGCGCGTACGGGACTGCAGTCTCCGTCGTGCTTCCTGTTGTCAACTTAACGTTGAAGCGGTCATCTGTTAGCGTATCCTCTCCTGTCATGAAGTAACCGCTGCCATTATGCGGGCTAGTGACCCAGATCTACAACATTATAACAAATGACTTGTAATTAGTGCTGATTAGTGGGAATTACTGACATAATTCGTGAATAACGTACCTCTCCGAGATGCGAATCGGCGCACATGCCCTTAGTCTCTGGATTGGCGATCACTACTTTCACACCGGGCAAAATCTGAACACCAAAACCAAAACCAAAACCAAAACAAAATTATTGTAAGAAAATAACAGGTGTCAAGACTACGAGCATTCGTTTATAATATCTTGCCAAGACTCACCTTTCCAGATTCCAATAAGCATAAACTGTGAGGACTTCCTCGTTCTACAAGAGTGACTCTACAAAAATAAGACAAGGCACGTGAAAATACGGTTACATTGCCAAAGTTCTCATGAAAAGAGATGCTCATCGTATGACCTGAAGAAATATGCGCTAATTTGTGAACTAATCTGGGGACTACGAGCTCATTATATCCGAATGAGATCAACCGATGCGCTATCAAAGCTAAAGCACTCACAACTGCCAATCATAACTACACTAAGCGCTATCGCTGTGTCTTACTCAGTCCGTGGCGCGAGTCAGCGAAAATAAATCGTGCACCGCAAACACCGAGGGCACGGTGCGCACGCTTCTCGCTTCCAGAGCTCGAGCGCTATTTTCGCTAATTTGTGCAAATGACTAAGCCGAGAAATCAGGACTGCTCGCTGTCTGACTCGCAAGAAGAAAAAAATTAATGTGAATGCGTGTGAACGGTTTTTACGCGTGTAAAAAATGCGGCTGAATATGTCGCGTTTAGTTAAAGTTTTTTCATTTGATTGTTTAGGAGAGAGGATCGGCTCTTAAAACGAATCACAGAACGAAATGGAACAAAACCAACACAATGCCGGGTGACTTCTGAGGCTCAATTGGATATCGTGTTACGACAATCAACAGATTCCTCATGAGTCTTTCTAGGAATCAGAATTTGATGACATAACACAATCAGACGTCTAAACAGAGTGACAGTATTATTGTTTTCATATTTCACCTGTCATTTCTTAGGGCTCTCGTGTCCACATACACGCTGGATGCCTCGGGCGTGGATGCACCCTGAAACAAAACGTGCACAGAGCGAGTGAGATAGAACATGCGTGCGTGTTGCATACGCAAGTACCTTAACCAACATGAGTGCGGGTCAACAAGGCGCGTGCCCGCTCACCCTTTCATTGCTTATAATGGACAAATTAGAGAATTCTCACCTGCGTGCAAATGGCAACATTAGTTCTGCATCCAAATGAAGTGCTTACTGCTCGAGCAGAAAGACCCAGACCAGAAAACAGAGTAGAAAACGCTGTGGTAAGGTTTATTCTGGGGCGTTCCTCGGCTACCACTACACAGTTACGTACACAGGTTAAATTGACACCCTTCGACTGTGAGAACAAATAGGCATAACATAACATTAATCCTTTTTGACATTTAGGAGTGACGAGCATCTAATCTCTCCTTACAGTATCACCCTAAAATCAGACATGGAGGTTGGGAGGGTATATGATTTAATCACCACCTCACTCTATTCCCACACTAACCGTTTTCAACAACGCTGACCTAAGCGTATAAGGGCGTTTAAGTTATTTTTCCACAAGCTTTGTAGTCTAGTGATACAACATTAATCACGGTTTCTTCGTATTCTTCAGCTTCCACACTGGCGAAAAATCAATCTGATACCTTCCTCGAAACATGTCTTCTTTCAAACAAAATATCCACAATACCTTGAGCGCCGGTATTGACTGCCCCAGTCCCTTGGTACACAAATCCATAACAGGGTAAGAACAGAACGTGTCGCGGACTGGGAAGGAAAACCAAACACAGTCAGCAAAACTGCATACTTTTTTCGTTGGGTTTGGAAGGAGAATCATCCATAACAGGGAACAGAACTCACCTTTATACTGACTAACTACTGATAACCAAAGAGCGGGATTCGTCTCCAGGTCTCCTGGAGGTATGAGGATTGTATGGTGTCCAGAATAGACACTACAAATTGAATTGAAAGAATTGTCAGTGAATGAACTGAAAAGAAAACAGCAAAGGATGGATAAACAATAAGTCAAATCTACATTTATTTTACACACGAATAATTAAAAATTCTCAGTGTTTAGGTTGTTATTTACCCAGTTAAACACCAGAGTAGAAATCCTAAACCACAGTAAGGGTCGAGACAAACCGCGATGTCACGAGAAGGATACAGCTCACACGCTAACTTCATAGAGCGACACAATGCAGTCACTGCTGCGTGTGACATCTGTAAAGAAAAGAATAAAGAAAATTGGTAACCTTGCGTAACACACGAAAGATCCAATTTGATTTGTAACGTAAAGTGTACACTACTATTGCGTGACCATTTGGTAACCAAAATTTTTGAGTCACGTTTCTAGACGTTCCAAAAAATTGGAGGAAACCTAAAATAACATTTCGTCAAGAGGAAAAAAACACCTGAGGTGGTAAGAACCCAAAATAAAAACAAGGATGGGTTGATAAAAATTTAAGGAATTACTATAACTATGAACAAAAGTTTTTTTATACTCCTTAAACTACTGAGATTTAAATCAAATTCCCCTTTCCTGTTGTTATTCATTTCTGTTCAAACCGGCTTAGAGAATTTAGTGTTGTATCAACAAAATATCTCCTACTAATAAATTTATCTTTTCTCAGTACAAGTTTGCTTGCTAGAGGGATTATTTTCAAATTTCTAGATTACTCTACCGACATGGAAGGACGGACCTCCCTTCCTCCCCTCCCTGCGCAACACCTCAAAGCCTGAAGTTAGACCAGAACATGTTAAGCGTCCATCTACTCTAACCTTCACTCCAGACAGCATTCCGGTAGTAGAGACGCTAAAATCGAGATAAGCGATCATTTCCGGTGTAGGAGCTCTGTACGGATTGGTCAGCTTCTTCTTAGGGGCATCATCGACTTCCACCACAGTGGGCCATGATTTTATGTCCACTACGCCAACAGCTTCTTTGGATCTCAACGCCTTAGCGATGTTGTGAGTTGTTAGCACTGCACGTGATTTGCTGACGTCAATGACCATTTTGACGGTGGGGAGGGTAGAGGAGATGTTGTTTGCGTGAGGGGGACGGACGGGAACTGGAATGAGACCTAAGAAATGAAAGAGGGAGGAATTAATAAAACCCTCAGGGCCACAAAATAACAAAAGCGATTTTGGACCCAGTTCCATAAAAACAAAACAAAACCAAAGCAATTCACAACATAGGAAATACTGCATGAGGCCAGTGAAAATTCAAGCACTGAAACAAAAAAGACCAAGCGGCGAATGGTTTTTCGTCTGATTGGTTGAGACAACAGAAAAACCATTGCAATCTTGGATGACGCTCGAAACTCAATTGAAAATGGCTTCGAAACTGTTATCCCATAGGCAATTGTTTTTTTGGGATGTCACACCCAAGAGAACTCATAAATAGCTTTTTCTCTCAACACATCCTACGATGGTTTCGCGTTCCCTTATTTCTAACTCAACCAAAGGCCATCACATCATACCAGCATAGAGGCAAGCAAAGACTGCAACTATGAAGTCCACACCTAGAAAGAAAAGAAGACACAACAGTAAGCAAAAAAGGTTACGAAACCACATTAAACATTTCCTATCAACAGGAATGTGTCATGTTACAAGGGCTCCACTGAGAATACAGTATACTGCCAAGATTTGTGCCCGCATTTCAACTGTTCGCACATGCGGACGGTCGATGGAATGATCTCGTTATAAACCACATTTTCTCGGGTTGGGTCGTTATTATTTATATACCATTTTTTATTGGTAAGGGGGTTAAGCTGCGAGCGTTACGAGCCCCGCCATGATAGCATTTTTCATTAAAGTTTGTTTCAGGTAGCTGTTTGCTATCCTGTGTGCTTCACGTGCGGTAGGCTGAGCCAACACATTATTAAACTATTTGTAATTACCATAATGTAGTCCTTTGTGACAAGTGGAAATCCTTCCCAACGAGATGACGCAAAACAGAGGTTTTTTGATAAAATTTAAGCTGTGAAATTCTAAACGAGAAAAGAGCCTTAAAACATACCAGGGGTGAAAAGAAGAGCTACGTTGTCACCAGAACTAAGACGACCTTGTTCTACAGCCATCTGAGCGACGCGTTCGGCTCGCTTATGAAGCTGAGTTGTTGTTAATAACGCTGATACAGTGCCCTGAAATAAAACCACACAAAGCACAACTGACGTTTTAGCGCAAATTATCAACCAAGTAAACCTAAGCAAATAAATAACCACAAACGTTGTTTCGCCTGTGGTCATGCCACCTTTCCCGCGCTTTTCTGTGACCTTAACAAGCTTTTTTCTCGCGCGTGCATTCCAGTGCTTGGTTATTGTTTACTTAGATTCCCATCGATTCACCACGCTGTTTACGTTAGCTCGCACCAGGCTTTCGCTGAGTTGGTTGACTTTCCATCAAAACCGCTCTAAAACATAGTTACTCACCTTTGCATTCATTAGTGTGAATAACACATGATCAGGCATGGTTTGTGCCCTCCACTTGAGAATCTCAGCCAGGAACTGATACTGCGGAACAAAACGTGAAATTATATTTCAAACATGTTTCGACATTACTCATGTCGTCTTCCGTTGAAAATCTAGGTTTGCTAACTTTTGGAATCCGATTCTCCCATTTAATTTACATTGCCAGGAGCCCATAATGGACTCCTAACATTGCCTCTTTTATCTCTTATTTTTCATATTTGTAATAATACACTCCACTCAGTTACGCTACGCAAAGTTAGTCAGGTAGAGAGAGTATTTTGTTCACTCATGTCAAATCTCACGCTACCTCTGATCTAAAGAGTCATTCTCCGTTCTAGGTCCTAAAACATCTCTTTGTTACTAGCTACAAGAACTTTTCAACTAACGACGATAACTCCCTCTGGCTGAAAAGTTTTCCATGTTTCCCTTCATTGTTTTCATTTCAATTAAACCCACTGAGCTCTGTTAGCTACATCCCCCTCGTTCGTTCCCGTGAAAATCTCCTTGTGGCTCCGACGAAATCTGTCTCCCTTCAAATTACAAGTTGTTTAGGCAAGTCACACGACCTTGACCTGAAGGAGGCGTTTATAACCCTCATATGGAAAATACTTTCAGGTCACAGCTTAAGCTGCTTCAAGGCTGCTCTAACAGAACCCAAAAAAGTGTTTCCACATTCAAGATGCTAGCGCTATGTAAGTTACTTTACCTTTCTCGCCATATCGCTGTCCTCCTCTATGTCTGCGATCTCTCGGCCAGCGGCTCCTCCTATTCTTGTCCCCATTACAATATTACCGACCATGGTGGCAGCAGGACCAGGCTCTGAGGAAAAGAAACAAATTTCGCTCAACCCAGCATTGAAATGAAGATAATGTTAAACAGCGAAGTCCTTATGATCTGCAGCGCTGTTCACCTCTAGAATATGACATGATGTATTCATCTTGTCACACAAAGCTGTATTTCACCTATCACGCAGTCCTTGAATATTCGTTTGTAAAGCAGCACCTGTATTTTGCCTAAATACAATGGCCCTTGCAACTTTTACTTCTCACATGCAATGCTTGTAGTTCTGCTTTCCACACAGTGCTGCATTCTCAGCTGTATGAATGCCTATAATTTTGCTTATCACACAATCTCTGGATTTTTCTTTAACAAAAAGCTCTAACTTTAAACAGACACTCAACGCTTGTCACGCGTAATGCAACAAAAGCTGATTCTCACCAGGGTGTTTTTGCCTTGGCTGAGGTAGATTTGTGACGCATGTTTCGGGACACATCAAAATGTTCGCTGGGTGAAGAGAACCTTCCATGAACTTTTGTTTTGTCTCGTGTATATGAACAGCGCCGGAGCTTGTCTAAAGAAACAAACACAACTTGAGTATAACTTCAGGGCAAAGGTTCCACTCTTCTTTAGATCTCCTAGAAACTTGTTGATAAGGCGTTGAAAGTTATCTGGGACTGTCCATGTTTTGGCTGTTGTGATTTTTCGGGTTTTAGTTCACGACGCACAATCCAGATGCTTTCAGACACACACATTGTCCTTTGGCCGTACAAATTTGACCATACAAATTTGACCATTCAATACCGTAACACGGCGAATTTCAAAAAAACTATTAGTTGATATGAAAACCCACCTTAGGTAATCCATTAGAAGCCACGAGACATAAACAATAAATACCAACCTGAAACAGAAAAAATACTCCAATGTGAGTACAATTCCTCAGAGAATAAATACTTCACAAACGACACTCAACCTAAAGTATTGTGTGTCACGCCAATTGTATTACGGAGCACTATGGTACTCAGCCATATCAAAGAAGAGGGTTATGTACCACGGGGTAAAATATGAACCATTCATATGGCCAAAGGGGGTAAGTTTCTAAAGAAACCGTGGTGCTGCGTCGGCGGGAGAGTATAACAGGGTAATTTGGTATTATAAACTGAGTTGATAACGTAAATTGACCACTTCGTCAGAGCGAAACTGAAACTTCACTCTGACGAGGGGCTAACGCTCGAAACGTCAGCTTAGAAACTCCTCATGGCGGCCAATTTACGTTATCAATTCAGTTGATAATAACAAATTACCCCATTCATACGGCCAGATTGGCATCCAAGATGGCGAATTGATGTAGCGCAATCTTGAATGCCAATCCTGCCACATGATTGGTTCCTCTGTACCACGTGATACGCAATCCCTTTCTCTCTGAGAACCATACTGCCCGCTTATACCGTTCGCTAATACTACTCACAATTTTAAACACATTCTTATCGATTAAGTTCCGGAAAATTCACACCCTCTAAAACAGATACTTACATTGTGAATACTGTCCACTGAGGGCAACACGTGACTCATCCACTGAAAGCTCTGTAAGAGAATTAACAACAGAAAAAATTGTCATCATACATTAGAAAAAGGGATAAGAACACATTTTGTAATATCAGAAAAATTGCTAAAAATCTCCAAAACTGATTTGGAACATATGAAAATGAACACAGAATTTTTCACTCTTGAGAGAGCAATTTTCAAACGAGTATTGAACGTAATCCGACATTGCATTGGTTTTGCTTCGTCGTGCTATGTGCAATCACGCTCACTAATGATTTTCTGCGCCTAAGGGAGTCAACTAGCTTTTTCTTTGAGTTCTGATGAGCTTCTCCTAATATTTTTTTACTTCTGATAGGCTTTTGCGATTGCTTTGATTTGTGTTTTCCAATACTCCTTCGAAAAGCGCTCTATGTCAAAAATAATTTTCCTTGTTGTCATTCTTTGTTGGTTAGTTGTGAGAAGTTCGTGTTCCTTACAAATTTTATTCCCGTGTTGATTTTATTAATTCTCCTAACTTGTCTACGTGGCAGTGTCTTGTAATTGTACGGAGAATACAGGGAAAGATCAATCCCTAGAGTCAAGGGTTTATTTCGCCTTTTCAACAAAGTTAACAGTTTGAACTCACCTCTTCTTCTGTGCACTGTGGTCGTTGTTCAGCCACTACTACAATTCTATCATCCTTTAGGATTGACAGTGAAAATATAGCTATCCTGCGAAAAAAAAAGGAACAAAAAGGATAATGAAGTCTGTAAAATTACTTTAACACTGTACATCACTGTTTGTGCATCTACAAAAATAGAGCGTAATCTTTTTCCATATTTGATGTAAGACACAATCTTCAGAAGGTTTCATTCTTTGTGGTGATAATTTTAAATAACCCCTTTCCTCCCCTTCAACAAATTTAAGACTCGATATATTCTAAACGACCAGCACTAACAATGTCATCACTACGCATGTGCTTCATGCTGAAGAAAACAAAATAAGCTCCAAAGATGTCTTCAATAAGGGATCTGTGAGCTGACTTTTTTCACACTAAAAATTCAACCATGTAGATATTTTTATTAATTGTCACCCACCTGCCTCTGTAGACAAATTTCACTGGATCGACAGCAAGGATTGTTGCCTTGAGATCATCAGAATTGTGTCGTCTTCCACTGACTTTAATCAAACCATCAGCTGTTCCACACACAAATACTAAACCACCCTACAGAGAAATTGCAAGGACTCAAACCTTCCTCTAACACTCTATCACACCAGGCAATAACAACCAAGAAAAAGAATGCAAGGTCAAGTTTTGCTCCAGTCGATTATGTTCAATTCACACCATCACAGTAAAAAGGTCAAATTCGCATATGTTTAATCTAAAAATGCTTTGAGAAAGCACCTTTCATCACTAAAGGTGAAATGTGTGGCTCTTAGCGCACTTGCCATATAATAGTCTGTTAAATCCAACTAATCAAACTACTTTTTTTTTCAAAGAGATTGCTCTCATGGATCAGAACTTTCTGGCTACACCAGTCAACTCATGCACCATTCTATTGGCATTTCATATGAAAGATTCTGTCAAGTTACCATAGGCCAAAAAGGTGAAAGCCACCCATGAACACATGAGAATTTTGCATGCTCAGCTCTCAAAAAACTGCAGTTGACAGATGTGCAATTGCTCGAGGTGAACTTAGAGAAAAACAAAGCATTAGCACTAAAATAAATATTTTCTTACTGGTCCTAAAAATCCAAGCAGCCCAGTTCTAACAAAGTCACTAAGTGGATACTGTTCAAATGGTGCACCATCATCTAAAGTTGGTTGAACCTGTTCATCAAAGCAAAATCAGAATGCATTACATTAGAAAACACAATGTCTCTTTATATAAAACCTAGAAGTGATCAACACGTAACTTCTCCCTAAAGTATCCATACATTATCTGGCAAATGTGTAATGAGACTACCCAGACTTATCAGGTGGAAGTTGTTAACTTGATCTAACATCAAATTCGTGTAACTAATTTATATGGAAATGTGTACCAGCTGGAGGGAAGAATTACCTATCAGGTCTTACAAGTTAAAGAGTTAATAATCATCATAGCTATCTTGCTACAATAAACAAAAAAGAACAAAGAAACAGTGAAACTTTTGCTTTTATTGCTATGATGGTGAGAGAGTCTTCAAGATTTTTGGGAATACCTAGGTTTGCTTAGGAAATTCAGCCCTCTATAATTGAAGTCATTATGCGCATGTGCAGCCATTTAAACTCTCTATTACCTTAAATGTGTGGTTTGTTTTTCCAGCTAGACCCCAGTATGCACTCCCTGTGGCTCCACTTGATATGCACAGTTCACCAACTTCATCACTCTTACACAAGTAAGGGGGACCTTCAAGTTTCACCACTGCTATCTTGGCTGTAAGTTGAAAATGAATAAGTACAGTTAAATACAGTTTACTCGTGCCACCAACAAATTGTAACTGGTGATATGCTTGTGGTGGCCAGTGGTTCCTACCGTGTGTGGGAGTTGATGGCTGGGACTGTCAACTTCTGATTCACTCTCTTAGGGCTGGCTAGTCACAAAGGAGGGCGGAGGGAGGGGTCTCCAACATTCTTGCCCCCAACTTCCCTTTTTACCCACCAACTATACACATATTTATGCGGCCAAAAATAAGTTTAACAGAGAGCTAAACTACCTCGATATAATACAAAAAGGATCTAGGTTTACCTCCAGGCAACACTGTCCCACAATCCTGCAGGGTCAGTGATGTTAGAGACCCTTCTTTGTCAACTCTTACCACACCATAACTCAGTCCAGATAATGAAAGAACTCCACGCCCTGTTGCAGTAGTTCCTGGCTTGCCCGGTCTGAACATTGAATCGCAACATGTAACATGTTAAAGTGAATGTGGAATTTAAGGTAATACTTAAAATGTCAGGTTTTGAGAATGACAATAAAAGAACAAACAGCAGTAGAGATAATGCTTTGTGGGAAAGTTAATTACCTTCTTAAGGCAACTGTCATTGTTTCTGTTGAACTTGCACATGGACAGAGGGCCTCAGGTTTCAAACCTTTTGCTTCAAAGGCATTTACAAAAGAATCACAGGCTGACAAAGACCCTAGGAAGAAAAATAAATAAAGATGTCAGAAATGTAGTCTGTGGTTTTTCAAGGCCCCTTTGCCATCTATTATAATATTGTTATTCATAAGTATTGTAAAATTATTAACCTTGTGATGTAAACACCCATGATTTATAACTATCTTGTAATATTTCTACTACTATCTTTCTATAAATGGCAAATAAAATTATTTTGTATAGTAGACTACATCCATGTAGTAAGGCAAGTACTTTGTCCTCTGCAAAGCTTTAAATGAATAATTTGCTATCAAACTCTCTGATTGACCAGGTTCATAATCTTTCCAACTTTTCCAGGGCATTTCTATTTTTGACTAACAATAAAAAAGTTGGTGTCATACTGGGGAGAAAAGATTACTCTATCACAGTACATGAGCATCTGTGTTATTAAAATCTCAGAAAAGAAATTTTCAGTCATCAAGTTTCCTTAACTTATCAGGCCTACAGAGTTTTTCACAAACCCTGGTTAACTGGCAATAAACTTGATCCAACAAACTCAAGAGGAAAATAAGTGAGGCAAATGGACAACTTATAAGCTGGAGAAGATAATCTTGATATGATGCCAAATTCTCCTTAATAATTAACAAAAGAATGTATGACCACTGGAAGGGAAAAATACTGAACAGCACTTGAGAGTTGAATGTTAAGTTAGCTTCCCTAAAATCACTTACATGGATTCACTGCACCTGCCAGAAGTAAAAACCGAATGGTACCAAGATTGACATCTTTGATATCTTTGCTGGCATGAAGAGACCAGTGGAGATTCCTTGAACTAACCAAAGCACATGTTGCTAATGGAAAAAAAATGGCAGAGATAATGTACTCATCTCACAACAACTGAGTGTTGAAAGTATCCAGGCTTGCTTTGGTTTTGCTTTACTTTCCCTTGTGATTAGTCCACTGTGCTTTCAAACATTTCATAACAATTTTCAATTGAGTGTTGAAAGTATCCAGGATTGCTTTGGTTTTGCTTTGGTTTTGCTTTGGTTTTGCTTTGGTTTTGCTTTGGTTTTGCTTTGGTTTTGCTTTGGTTTTGCTTTATTTTCCTCTGTGATTGGTCCAAAAAAACTTGCACCACTTTCTCAAACAATCAGATACAAAACTACAATCAATCTTGACTTGGTCTGCTGCATTTTCCTTGTATTTTGGGCAGTTTCATTGTTTTTACTCTGAGTTCTAAGAGGTCTTTTCTGATTGAATGTTATGATTACTTTCATGACACTCAGTTAACAAACACTCTTATCAAAGAATCATTTTTTAATAAGCAATTTCAGCATCAGGAAAGTGGTTAGAGAATTTAAGGTATTGTTGAAGCTTGCAGTAACTAGGCGAATCATTTACCTCTGTGTTTTGTTACCATCTGCAGCCACATGTTTGGTGAGTGATCTAGAACGGATGGTGGTACATAAATCACATGCATTCCATTCATAACACTCTGCAAAACAAAAAAACAAAGATGATTATTTTATGTCTATCACAGTCCTATGAGGACTGTGGCAATTACTTCTTGCAAAGCTTAAAATTGTAAAGACCCTTCTTCACACAAACAAAAAGAGATTTTCTCCACCTACAGTGTAGCCCAGACCAGTACAAATGATTAAAAAACACTGAAACATGCTAAACCAAAAACTTAAAGAACTTCAAAGAACACACTCACTGTTAAAATGGAATGCCACAATCCAACTTCCCTCTTAGGGTCAAGGACACTGATCATTATCTCACCTAATTAAACAAAAACGATTAAATTAAAAAACAATTTCTTTTTTGGGAAGGGGAGGTTGAACAACTCATTATGTAAGTCTTTAACAATGGATCAAAATCCTGGATTTTGTAAAAAAAAATGAAGAAAACAAAAGTGGACAAAGGCTTGTTTTCTGTTCAGTTATGCCAGGTTGAGTCTTCAGAGGTATTTTTTACAACATGCATCCTAAATTACTTGCTAAATTGTGTTAGCAAATGTTGTTTGGAAGGGGTAAAACAATCCTGCCATCTGCATTCCAACAAAATAAATGTACTAAAAATTTGGTACCAGAAGGTCAACTTTTCAGAAAAGAACATATAAGATATAAATCAGTGACTTTAAACTCAGCATCAAAAACTTGAGAACAAAACCTAACAAAGCCTTTCACTGCTCACCTTCCGTGTATGAACATGCCTGACTCAGGACCTGAGCATGTAGGTTCATACTCATCCGTGTCACAGTCACACCCATCACTGCCCCATCCTTTCCTACTGTGGACTGGTGACAAACAGAAAACTTGATTAAATTTCAAACTTCTCTAATGCAATTTAACATGTTCAAAATTCAGTTCAAAGATTATTTGCATAGTTTATTCCATTTCCCCAGTTTGAAATCAATTTCTGATCCTAAACTTTACCTACATGTACATTTGTTCCATCTCTACCAAAGAATTAGACAGTTTGAATTTAAAAAAATTGATCTGTTCCCATGCCAGAGGCTTCAAACTCAGGTGGTTGAAAAAAATCAAAGAGATTGCAATATGAAAGGTCAGTTTAAATCCTGTTGAACACCTAGATCTTTTATATCCAGGTTCTTCCAACCCAAATCCAATTCAAGATTTGCACAGAGAAGGTCATTGCAGCATGATTTAATGACATCATAGCAGGTAAAACAAGTGATGGACTTCATGAACTACAATAGATCAACCACAGTGCTTGCAAACCTCAATGTATGCTGGAGAACTTCTGTCCAGATTGGAAGGTGGTTGCCAATCTTTAGGATGTCTGTTAAGGTTTGCAGTGACAAACCATTGTAACTTGGGCCAACCTAAAGAAAAATACTTGTCTATAAGAAAGCACTGCACATAAAAATATGAAAAATATGTACAGTGTGCAACTGCTGAAAGCAAACAAAGTTAATATTGAATCAATGAAGCAATCAGTCAAGAGGTAAGAAAATGGTACAAGGGCTGTGAACACAGGCTAAGGTGAATGATTGAGCACTGTCAATAATAAGAAATGCAGGAATGAAACTGCGGATTTTAATAAAGAAGTAGCCAATAATTAAAAATTCATAATTCATAGGGACCTTATAAGCCCTTCACTGGTGAAAGTGAACTATTTAAATTGACCTTAAACACCTCCTTATTTCAAGATATAACACCTGTATTTCATTGAAAAGACTTGACGCTTCTGGTTAAAGTCCCCTACCCCAGCAGCACATGGTTCAAATTTCCCACCACCCAAGCATGGACAATGGTCAAATGCCTGTGGTTTGCCCAGGGGGGAAGGAGGAGGGGGGATGTTGAAGCTTCAAATTGATTGGTGCATTACAGTACTACTCACATGATCTGCAGCACCACCACATGCGTCAAGTTGCATAATTTGAGATAATTACACAAAGTCATGTTTCCAGCATGAGTAGCTACACACAATTTCCAGTATCGTTACATATAGCTTATTTAGACTGCCCTGGCCAGTGAATTGGAGATTAGTCAAAAACCAGTGAAATATTTCTTACCTTTAAATGTGCAAACATGTCCTGTGTCATCTTTAGGTAAACTCTTGAGACATGTTTCAGAAGTCAGGGCCCAGGAAACTCCACAACTTCCAAGAAGGAAGCCAATTTGCTGACAACCAGGATACTGTAAAAATAGGTTTCACATTTCACTCTGGGTCTTCAAAGTTAAGGATCGTTAATGTACATGTACAAAGTATATGTTCACTAAGGTAGACAGGGTTTAAATTTAATGGCATGAAAAAATTATACAGAAGAAAAACAAATGAGATATGGAATAACCAAGCAGTTGAAATTCTGACTCTGAATTTAAAGACCTCTTCACATTTTAGCCCAAGTTGGGTTATTTTGCTGTTTTGTTGGGCAAAATACTTAAGTCAAACAGTGCTTCCCTTCCCTTCACCTAGGAGTATCACTCTGGCAAGTCCTTTAGAGAAATTTGGATAATTATTTGTGGTTACATACAATAGAGATACTGGCATTCAATCCAGAGGTAGTGTTTGAACTCTTAGCTTAGAATACTCATTTCCTGTAACAGAAATTTAAGTAAGTTTGAAAAAAATCTGCCACTTAGCTTTGGAGACTTTACTCAGTAGCAAAACCATATGATATAGGAAACTGATGCAAAAGAAAAACTTATTTTTCTAAGATGTACTCAGTAAAAGTTCAGTGCTAAATAGAATGCACGCTAAAAACTGCCCATGTTAGTCAAGAAGTTTGGTTAAAAATCAATGCCACTCTTGAATAAATGCCACTCTTGAATAAACACCAACTTGGAGAAGCTAAGATTTTAATTAGCACCACATTTGATTGAGTAAATACAATATTTTAAGACTTACATCTTTGCTTGCTGGTGGTTCAATAGGAACAGGTATGATACCAGCAATAAGACATCCATAAAAACTTGTTATGAAATTGATGGGGTCATCAGCTTGATACACCAATGCAACCTGTACCAGGAAAAAAAAATTGTAAATGCTCATAGCTGTTTTTTTTTCTCTTTGATAACCGAGCTTAGAATTCAGGTGAATAGCACCCTTTTTTTTTCTTTCTGACCAGTGCTTTAGATATTGCTCATCCTTCCAGTATGGAGGACGAGCGGCTTTCATGTAAACAAGTATGATGGGTGTCTACAGGACAAGGGACAATTTTCTAGATAGCATGCCATCATTCCCTTGTATTTAGAGTAGGTTGCTCTGGATTAAAATCCCCACTGCATTCATTTGAAAATGTAATGGATGTATGACATGATCTGAACTGAGTAGACTACCAAGGTGAGCTACAAGCTATATATGCTTGGGCAGCAAGCTTGGTGTACTGCTTTGCAACATGCCCTTCTAGGAGGGTCTGAGGGTATGCTCCCTGCAAAACTTTGATCTTTGAAACTCTTTGAGATCCAGCATTTGGTGGTATGTTTGAGTAACTTTTGTTAGCCAGACATTGATTTGAGAATCAGTTCAAAGATAGTTTTTTTCCTGTCTTTGATTGCATTTCATGAAGTAGCCTTGCAAAATGGTCTGAATTGTGGCAGGTTTCTGCCACCTACTGGCTTCTAATGACAAGACTGCACTGACTCTCAAATTGTTCTGCTTCCCACCATCAAAATGTATGATTCAGGAATATGGCATTAATATAGTGCATTACATATAAGTGTGCATCACACAACTGTAAACAGTTATTGCACATTTTACAATAATGAATAATACAAGTTCTGAAAAAACTGCCTATAAATGTGAGTTCTTATTTCCACTTATTTATTCCAGTGTAGATCATACAAACTCACCCTGTCTCCAGTCATAATTGATGTTCCCTCCTTGTGACTTCCAACTTTGTTCAATAAAGCATAAGCTAGCTTCATTGATCTTGACAGAAGTTTGCCTAAAAATAAAACTCAAAATTAAAACACCACTTGGAAATTTCTCCAATAAGCCAGTGTGACATGCACCCACTTGTCCTCTCTTGCATTTCAACATTGCCGTAGCCTATCAACTAAGCGATGAGTAACAGGTACAGCTTTTCCTGACAATACCAATATATGTACTTTATCCCATATATCTGCCATGAAAATCTAAACAAAACTAGGGATTTTTCTTTTCTTTTACAAAGTGGATTCATATCAAGGTAACAAAAAGCACTAAGGAGGAAAAAAATAATAAATCAAAACTGGATAGTTGGGGGTTAAAAATGGTAGGAATTGTGGCTAAACTGAAAAAAAATTCATTGTTAGTATCAATATTGTACCACAGTAATGGTACTTGAGCTTGAATATACTGTTGTACACAAGTAGAGATTAAATTAACCATAATTTAGAAAAGTTTACAGTCACCAACCATATGTCAGAGTAACATTTGTTTTTCCATGGTTGTCCACAACAGAGAAGCATGAAGCTTTTGGAGACCTGGTGGCAAACTTGCTTAGAGCCTCCTCCAAGTTCTTGGGCAGCTCCTCAGGAACCTGTAACATCATGAAAACAAGAGAGGGTCAAACAATACCAACCACAGAACAATTCTATTATACATATAAATGTTTTTTTACAGACAGAGGGTTCACAATAATTAATTGAAAATATTTGCTTTGAAGCTCAGAACTGGTCCAGCTTTTTACCATGAAGATCATGGTCTGTAATTTTTTTTCACAGCAACATTGGTAGTAAAATGGGAAAAAAACAAACCAGCAGAAAAAAACAAGTTATTAACCATTATAGGAAAAACTGTCTGGGAAAAAAAAACATGCTTGCAAAGAGGAACTTGGACACAGTTTTTCCCATACAGCTGTGCACACCTCCAACTCAGAAAATAACATATTTAGTTACCTGCAAAATTTCCCCAGTGACAGGTCGTAGGGTTTGTCCTTCAGGTCGAGGAGCATTTGGATCAGGTTTAGTTGCTGCAGAACAATAAAATTAGCTTAAGCAAAATGATTATTAGTACGTACTAGTACAGTTGATAGCATCAGAGGCACACTCTAAGTAAATGGAGAGTCAATTGTAAATGGCCTATTTTGTCACCAATTGTAGATTCATGATAAAACGTTTCCTCTACAAATAAGATGGGGAGGTATGAGATGTAAAGTTTCATGTGGTTACCTTCTAGAAGTTCGTCATCCTCTTCTTTGTAAAACTGTTCCAATGGTTTTCTTTTAGGCCTCTGAGACATTTAGAAAAACACATTTAAAAATAAAATGACCCAAAAATTAAGATGACCAATTAAACAACAACAACAACTAAAGCTAGTACACCTCTCATCTTAGCGTTTAGTGAATTGATCTGCTGGACAAAGTGTATTTTTGTTACAAATGATTAACCCTTTACACCCCAACATCAGTATGCATATTCTCCATACTGTTCTCTATACATTTGCAAAGGTGCTGACAAGGAGAAATTGCTTAACAATCAAGAGCTTCTGTAGTTGTTGATTATTTACACCATTCTCATGATTGTGCATGTAATGTTTGATTCAAGGGTGATACTGTAAGGAGAAATTAGATGCTTGTCACTCCTAGGGGTTTAAAGATTAAAGGGAGTAAGTTTCCAAAGAAACTGTGCTGTTGCATCTGCAAAGCTATTACATGATAATTTTTTTTTATTGACTGAGTTGATAATGTAGACTGGCCTACATACTGAGATACTAAAGCTGATGCTCTCAGTGTTAGCCCTTTACAATTGGCTCTCATGAAGGGCTTCAATTTCAAATGTCAACTTTAGAAACTCTTTACAGAGGCCAATCTACAATATCAACTCAGTTGATGAAACCAAATTATTTTCATCACATTTAACTGTACCTTTAGTGTATTGAGAAGTTGTTGAATTTTTGATGATACTCTACTACTTGACACTAAAAAAGGAGGCAAATGAATCATTGTGATTTAAATTGTATTAACTGATTTAACTGTAACTAGAGCATGAACATGCATGTATGCTTAGAGATCTTAAGTTGATTAATTTGCTGCCAAAGAGTGAGCTTTTCGACTGCACTGCTGTCATATTGTGATCCTGCCACATCGCTGTTCTGAGAAAGGGGGAGGGGTTACGGGGGTGTATTTGAGAGACTTGAGAAGCCCTATATATGTATCTTGACTCTGAAAAGTCTGTGCTTACTGAATCTCACACATCATGTGCATGTTAATGCAACACTAACCTAAGATTAGTGTGTATATTCTCCATACTGTTCTCTATGCATTTCCTGGGGTGCTGACAAGGAGAATGTTGAGTATCGAATGAAAGATTTTACTTTAGGGTTGTTTAGCCAGACCAATTGAAAGTATTAATCAGCAAAGCCAAATTTAGAAAATTTCAACATAACATATTCAATGGGAACTCAGAAAAAGCCTAGGGAAAACTTAAGGGAAAGGTAAGGGCATTGTAAACATTTTTAGTTAGTTTTGTATCAGTTTGGTTGAGGGAATGGTGCAGAATTCTATACCAATCACCAAGGACAGTGACGAAAACCAATGCAAATATGAATAAAGGAAATGACTTTCTAAAGAAAAAGTGGTGTTGCTTTGGGGGGGGACAGGGGGTATTGCAGCACCATTAAGACTTTCTATGGCTGTAAATTTATATTAATTTATCAGTTTAGTTGATAAAACCACATTACAATACAAACATGAATCGTTTAACGCTCATTTGAAAAAAAATTTTTTGTTGGTTCAATGAATCTCACCTGACACTTGTCCATCATCCTCTATTGTCCTCACTGATGACATATGCATCACTCGACTTCCTTTGGTATCAAATGGTCCTTGCCTTGTCAAGTCTGGGGGAGGGGTTACAGGAGGGAAACTGCTTGTGCTGTGACGGTGTTGTATGTACATGTCTGGGGGAGGGGAGGGGAATTCCTCAGAGCCTGCTCGAGGTGTAGAGGTACGAGAACTAACTGAGCCAGGGGGAGTGTACTCATTTGGGGCTTGGTTTCCAATAGAGTCTTGTGAAGATACAGAACCTAAAATTTAGATCGATGAAAAATCAATAGGGACCACTTGAACACCACATAAAGTAAATTATGACATGACAAATTGGGAATGATACTTGTTGGTTAACACTTATCCCACAGAGCATTTTAAAGCTTTCTCACAAGGAAAGTCAAGCCAAAACCACATGAACTCATCCCAGTTTCTCTAACATGAAGTGACACTCCCTTTACTGAACATGATAATTTTATAATCTCGGGTGAAGAGAGGCAGTGTGAAAGTGGTGTCCTGCTTGAGCACAACGATAAAACCAAGAATAAAACTAAAATTCTTTACCTAAAGTACACTTCAAGAAAGACAGTGCTCATTGGAATAATACATGATGACAGTATTTTTTTTGACCCTTTAACCTCTAAGAGTGATTAGCTAGTAGTTTCTCCTATCAGTATCACCCCTAAAACAAACATTGAGGTCATGAGAATAAAGGAAATGATCACCAACTAACAAAGCTGTTGATTGTTAAACAAATTCTCTTTGTCAGTACCATAGGAAATGTATAGAGAATAATATGGAGAAAGTGTATACTGATGTTAAGGTGTTTAAGGGTTAATTAGAATAGGGCATAGCAAAGTGTAGCAGGGTACAACTTAGGCATTTGTTTAACAAGGACACATACGAAGGGAGGCCCAACAAAGGGAGCAACATAACGAGACCAGAAGTATTGCTACTTCTTCTAAATGGTATGCTAATGTATTGCAGGTTTCTCAGAGCATTCTGTCAACTTTTTTGAATGTTCATCAGTAACCTTTTAAACTCTTGGGTGGACAGAGGCCCTGTGAGATTTACTTACCATGCGCAAAGATTACAACGCCATAACTAAGCAAGGACTTACAGTAACCTGTTACACCCTAACATCAGTATGTATATCCTCCATACTTTTCTCTATACATTACCTATGTAGTGCTATCAAGGATAATTTGTTTCACAATCAAGAGCTTCTGTAGTTGGTGATCATTTCCTTCATTCTCATGGTCCTAATGTGTGATTCGGGGGTGATATTGATGGGAGAAATTAGCTACATATGGTCATTCAAAAGGTTAACCAGACCATCTAATCTGGTTTCCAACATGCAACCTAAATTGTAAAAAGTCTCCATCTCTTGCATTGGTTTAACCTACAGTTCATGTACATTAATGTACCTCTTAGAAGTTGCGGTTGTGTACCATTTTCCACAGGCTTTCGCCTCATAAGTGACTGTCTTTTAAATGGTGCAGGCATCTCATCTTGCGTATTGAGTCTTTTTGCTAAGGCTGCCTGCAGAGCCTCTGACCTTTGCACTAAGATGACAATGAAATGTGTTATTTTTAAAACATGTTGAAAGATTTACCATGTTGTAAAGCCTCAATTTTGACACACAAAGCAGACATAGTCTGGAATCACTTTTTAGTTCATAAACTTTACAGAGATCTGAGCTCAACTACTCTGTGACCTAAAATCATCACATGGTCACCATAAATAAAATCTTAGTCAGTAGAAGTTACTCAAGGAAAGAAAATGTGACCAATATGACATTCTGTTTCATATAAATGTCAATCTTGCCTTCCCTTTAGAAGAAATATAATTTAAAATGTTACAGCTTGATACAAGACTATCAAACATACCTTTAGGTTTTTTAAATTGAAAACTGTTGTAGCAAATTTACTTCAAAATTCATTGCCAAAAGTTTTTTTCCTACTTGCCATGGCAACCAACCAAAACAGTCCCAGCTTAGAGCCACGATATATATATATACATATATATAAGTGTGGGGGTAGAGTCTACCTTAGCATAAAGTGCTCAATGCTGTGGTAGCACAGCTGGGTATATATAAGTGAAAGAATCAAAGAGGATGCATCAGTTCTCTGTTACTCTGAGTTTCACACCTAAGTGCTTGTCAGACAGAACTTTTCTCTAAAAAGATCTGTCTGATAAGGCGTGAAACTCAGAGTAACAGAGAATCGATGTGTCCTCTTTGATTCTTTCACTTATATATATATATATATATATTTGAATTTGGCATGAAAAATTGACAATTTTTTGGACAATTTAAAAACAATTTTGTTATAAAATATCTGTACTGAAAGTCACATAAGTAGCAAAGTAAACAAGCACTCTAAATCCAACAAAATTAAATGAATAAATACACAAAGATAAGTGTTTTAATATCTTCTACCCAAAAATCAAGACAGTTTAGCTCAACTGCAAAACAAAATCTTTCCAATCACATCTGAGTACCTTAAAAATATCATTTCATTGCCAATCTCAATATCAAATTTCACACGCATGCCAAAAAAACACCATACATGTAACTTCAAGGATTAAGCTCCGACTAGAGGTAAAATAGTAAAATAGTGTGAGCTGTCCTTAACAGAGAAGCTTCACACATTTCAGAGATAATGAACAAAGATATCACAACTCCGATCTCAAAAGAATTTTCACAAAACATCAACTTTGCAACACAAGGAACACACACAGATCAGCTTTATACATAGAGCTAAAAAATTATAAAGAGCACAGAGTGAATCTAATATATACTAACACAACAGATTGTTGTTATTGTGGCCTTCTTTCTTGTCAACTTCATGTTGAATAAGCTGTGCTTGGTCTGGATGCACATTTCCCATGTTTTTACGACATGTAACATAACCTACCTGCGCTGTAGTGATCGTTCATGTTTGGACTGCCAGGTGAAGCAACATTTGAATCTATAAAAAGACCATAAATATTTCAAATTTTAGTTGAAACCACAGAGAGATAAGGTTTATAATTTGGCAAAACTGTATATTGAAGTCTGAATCCTACAAAAACTAGATTAGTTCTAAGTCCTACAATGAAGTCTTGAAATGAAAATTTAAACATACAGTAAAGTGGTCCCCTGGCTCTATTGTCTAACATTTTACAATTAAAAAAAAACCTTAAAAAAAGTGTCTCTTACTTAAACCATCACCTATTTGTGATACCAAGCTTAGAAAACAACAACATCTCTTTTCTCCTATATTGTTCCTCAATTGTTGAAACACATATTGTTTCATGAGCATTAGCTAGGGCAATACCATGCAAAGTTATCTTTCATATGATTGGCTACACTGGTCAACAACAATATCAAAGCTACATTAATTCAAAGCTCAGTTCATTTAGTTGAGAACGACATCGTTGATTTTGTGACTGTCATTCTAAATCCTTCTTTAATGGTGCAGGTTTAGAGATCGTGCTCACTCCAACCTTGTGAAACTTGTGAATCAGGTCTTACTAAGTAAGTGGATTTAGAATTTTAAAAATAGCATGGTAATGTTTAAATATTGTTCACACATCCAAAGTTTCCTGCTAAATCTTTCTGTAGCTTTTAAGTGGTTTTTGTGGCAGTAATTTGTGTCTTTTTCAAATTACACAGTTAATTATGCAGCAACTCTTTGATAAGTTTTTTAACATTCTAAAATTATGTCCTTTAGACAGCACATCTTTCTAAGTCTGGGGGAAATATGAAGTGTTAAAAATACAAAGGGGACCTCCTTGCAGCAGATAAAACAAGAATTTCATTTGTTCCAACTATTAATAAATTATTTTACATTTTCAACCTGCAAATGAATCTTTACATGAAATGTAGTACATGAAACTGGGGAGAGAGGTAGCCAAATTGTTTGTGTTCTAAACTGTGCATCAAGGGGTCTGGGTTCAAATCATGGTTGGACCTTTAATTTTTGAGCTTGATAAATCATACTAGGCAGTGCTCCAAGCTGCAACTGCTTTTGTTGGAATTGTGAGTAGGAAAACTTTGGTATTTGCATTTGCAGTGGTAGTAGCTAGTTTGATGATCTCTGATTGGAAGTCTTGCGAAAAGCTGTAACTTTATTGCTTAACATTTGTGGACCTAACTTTATTACAAACAATATTTATTAAGAGGCCTTGCCAAAGTCTCTTTGTTGCCATAAAAATAACAGAAATAGACTTTGTCAGAGATTTTTTTTCCAGCAGCTAGCCGCAAAAAAAGGTACAGTAGCTGGGGCTAAACTACTGAGTAGCAAATTAAAGGTACGAGCATCTTATCTGCTTATATCTATTCTCCTTGCTATCAATAACTGTTTTCACTCCAGTTTTAATTTAATCTTTTGAGGGTTCATACAAAATTAACACACAGGTCAAAATTCACATCAGATCCAGCTAGTCATTTTTCCTGTTTTGTCTACTCCAGTTAGCCACTGCTTACTAAACAAGTAGCCGCTAAAAAGCTGGCTGCCACATGTGATGCCTCTGGAGAACAATGAATGTTTGAGTTCATCCTTGGAAAATTTATACAATTCCCATTCTTACCTCTTGATAGGTAGGGCCCGAGCAATTTTGCTCTTTTTTTTTCATATCCCTTCTGAGTTATATCACCTGCAAAGAAACACAATCATGTGTTACAAAATTTAGAAGAGATGAACTGTTTCTAGGTAGCAGATGGTAAAGTGGGATTAGTAACAGATGGCACCACCACCCATCCATAACTACTACAGGCCTCACATGGTCCATGCATCATTACCCAGTAGCTTTGCCATATACCATTAGTTCGTCTAAGTTCACTGTTTATATAATATTAGAGTGGTAAATATTGCCAGCCTGTTTGCACAACCTTTCCATCTCTTAGAGTAACTGAAGAGGAATTTCTCTTTACAAATTCAATCAATCTTCAATTTGTGTGGTTATGAAACGAAAGAAAAATATCAAGTAAAGGATATTGCTTGATTTACGTCTAAATACTTGTGGTAAATATTATATAAAATGTATCGCAGATAATGAAGAGAATTTGACATTTTGATCCTGGGGCTTGGTGGCAGGAGCTTATGCAAGACTGATTCACCTGCTCACACTTAAGGCACCACATTCAAGGTACTCTAGGGAATTAAAACTTGATTGCCTACAAGATAAGCTAAAATTTAAACCATTTCACAGGCACTGATCACAACATGCACCTTAGAGACAATTTTAAGAGAAAAGATATCAAATACTGCTGTCTGGTTTGGGTGCATTGACTATACATGTAATAGAAGTGAAATAAATATGCATATCAGGGGAATTAACTGCAAATAGCCCAAGATGTTAAAAATGGCAGCTTTCACTTGTTGTAGTTTGATGAATGCAGTAAGGAACTGATAATGTAAAATTTTATGCATTATGCACCCAAATCAGTTTTTAATCAATGGACAGCACTTGACATGTATCCCTATGAATGATAATGAAGTATTTATAAAAGTTCCATCATTTGAAAGTTGTTCTTAAATGGAGAAGCCACTTCCTCTACATCAAGGCTAGGAAAAGTCAAAGGCAACAAAATGAGGTTATTCTGAAAATTGACTGGTGTCGACAAGGTTGTGTCGAAGGTGTCTCTAAACTTATATACCGTGGCCATCTTCAAATTCAAATTATCTCGCAATTACCATATTCAATTATCAACATTCGCCGAGGAAAAAATGAAGAAAATTTACGAATAACTCCAAAATATCAATCCTATACACGGAAAATGCAAGGGTACATTCCAGATCATCATTAGTACGAGCAAACAAAGACAATCTCGCGCACAAACAAATATTGCCATAAACAACAAAAGTTAGTCATATTTAAATGATTGATTCTCGACGTCTCGATTTTATTATAGGGCTAAACTGCTTTAACCCAGATTAAAACACTGCAAGCTTGTAATTTTTTCGCATGGCTTCAAATAATTTTTAAGAATATTTCGCAACCCGTTTGAAAAATAAAAATATGTCGACATTTTCAAGCTGTCAAAAAAATTATTTCCACTCGGTTCGTTTAATCAAGTGCTACCTGAGGGCTAAAACATTCTTTCAAAATCCCATTCATAGGGAGATCGCAACATGTAGTTAGCTTATTGACGATGTTGAGTCAAAACATTAAAAAAAATCATTGGAAATCTGCAAGCAGTTAACTTATGTTGCCGACGAAAGTAACATCGCTTGATGGATTGTACTTTCGCAATAATAACTGTTTATACTTTTGCTATGTGCATAGTATTAATATCAATAACGTTTTTCTTTACCGTTGCACGAGTTTTTAAAACATGATGTTGACACAGTCATCACCGAATCGTGATCACACAGGGAAATACTGAGTGTAATCTCTTTATATATGCATGACTTCATAGTTTTTTTCCAATGCAAGGTAGCGACACAATCACGTTAGCTATTTGAAGATTTCGCTATAAATTACGAGCCACAAGGAAATTTTTACTCGATTTTACACTCCCTTTGAATCAAGACAAGCCAAACAGTTTTAGAACTGTTGTTTTCAATGAAGATCAACCAATATTTTCTGTAAATAAAACATCGGCATATTTCACTTCCCTTCATTTACTTCCAAGACAGTTCGACACACTCACCTTCGGCAAGCTCTGTATTCAACTCACGTAGTTTTTCGAGCACTTGTGCCGGTAGGGAAGATTCTGGCGGCTCTGCCATACTTGTTGGTCTTGATCGCAGTAAAGGTTCTGCTGAAAAAATTACAAAATTCAAGGCATGAATTGGGCGAGGCGACAGCTTCTGTCGACACTGTTTACGTGCACTACTCGCGATCAAGCGCGAGTACTCTCGAGCGTCACGTGACAAATTTCCCTAGACTACTACCCAGCCTGCAACAGGATCACCATCGGCGGAGACATCTTTCGCAAATTTTACCGTAATAATTAATAGTTATTAGAATTCTCTGCTCATGTTTCTTTATCAACACCGATAGGATTTCCTTTCTCTGAGGAACAGACGATAACACGCCGGTAACATTTATAGATCTGTAGTATTGAGAAGATTGCGTGACATGTTCATTTGAGGCTGTCACGCACTCTGCTCCACAAAGCGTAATTTTCAGTTTCTTTTGCTAAGTTACTTTTCCATGATTGATTCGATTTAAAGGAAAAAAGTTTGGACAGTTGCATGACTAAATGAAAGAAGACAACAAAATTTTTCTATTTGGCTGTTAAACTTGTCAGAACTTATCGAAACGGCTGCAACTTGGCTGTAACAGTCTCAAAATTCAGGAGTAAGTATATCTAAAGAAACTGTGGTGCTGCGTCGGTAGGGTCACAACAAGATAATTTGGTTTTATCGACTGAGTTGGTAATGTAAAGGGTTTCTAAAGCTTGAATTTTCGAGCGTTAGCCCTTTGATCAGAGCAATAGCCCTTCGTCATTCACTCTGACGAAGGGCAAACGTAAGAAACGCAAGCTTTAGAAACTCTTTACGGTGTGGAATAATTTCCGGGTAAAATTACACGCCTGAAAATACGACACTGTAATGTAGAAATATTGATAAAACCTCTTTACATAGAACACAAGAATTAAATGTTTTGTATATGAACGAAAAAGGGCCCCATTGCGGGCGTTTTGATAGCCATTTTGCACCCAAATATTTCTCCATAATTTTTTTTGCGGGGTTTCTGTTTAACTGGCGCGGGTTCCACTCCAATCAGTCTCTTGCAAATGTCCCTTATGATATTTGCTTGATGAACTCAGATGTCATGTAATGACATCGACCGTGAATTATTCTCCGTATAAGAAAGTGCGACATACAGGTAACAGGTGTAATCATTAACATATGAAATAAAACTCAGCCAAAAAGTATCCGCGTTATTGAATTATCCTCGTAACATCAAGCGGTAATTAACTCAAAAGGGTTCACGCATACTCCTGAACAAAATTGTTTGTTTAAGTTTTAAGTTCAAGCCTTTTTCCCGTTAGATTAATCCGTTGATGTCAGATCAATAGTGTTCGGAATAAATATTTAAAGACATTGTGGTTTGTTTAAATTTCAATAACCATCGCCGCTACCTTGTGAATATAATTCCTCTTAATCCCAACGTTAACTCGATGAAATTAAATTTCCTACAAAACGTCATGTCATTTTTCTGCTATTTGCTTTGACACTTTGAAGTTATTATCATTACAAAGTGAGCTAGCTTCATATGGCATTGTATGGTCGGGCAGTGCTCACAAGTCAGTTGAAAAGATCATCTCCGTGGGGTGTCAATTCCTTTTGTTTTTCTCCTCCGGTTCTATTCCATAAAGAAAATAAATCACTCCACTCACCGTTGAAACGAACATTGCGGGGATACGACCATCGTTTGTGAACTGCCATCTTCGCGGCGAAGTGCTGTCTTTGCCTTGTAAATAAACTGCCTTCACAAAACGACGAGGCGACGAAAAGTGAACCTGAATTGTTTAGGCCTTTTGTGGGTATGACGTCACACGTTTATATGGAATACATTTTTAAATTTCCACGTGGAATATTTACGGAGGGTAGCTACTGCTCGCAAACGTTGCTTAATAAGCCTTGAAGTTTTCCTTTTTTTCAGGATTATGTTTGCCGTTATTTCAGATAATCTGGTATTTCTCTTTTAGACGTTTTTGACAAATTTGTCGATCGCCGTTCTATTTCTCTCAGACAGTAATATAAATATTTATTATTCGCATAAAAACAAGACAATGGTTTATGATTTTTTCCTTCTCTTAAACAACATATAAAAAAGCAAACGCACTCACGCAAAGTGTCAAATGTCAAAGGTTTCTGTTAGTTCGAACTGTATCAAAGAGATCGAACAAAAATGTTCTTCAGTTCTATCGATTGAAATCTAAGACTATGAATCTATATCATTAAATGCAAAGCTGTTTTCTTAAATGAAACTAATTTTCAAACGACATCCGTCGTCTCAACTCGTACAACACGCGATCAACCTCCTCCAAAGTATTATAATGAAAAAAATTTCCGAACTGCAAAATATAAGAAAGTGGCTTCACTAATAAGGTTGTGAAACTGTGGAATGAATAACCAGCCTGGCCTAGGAGACCAACTACGAAAATCCTAATTTTCCGACGAAACTCCGTGATATTTTGTCCGGTACCTTTGCAAACAAAGATAAATACCTATACTGGAACAGTTGTAACAGAAGGAAAGTATTGTACATAATCAGAGTAATATCCAACCATTTTACTCAATAATTCTCTTTTGACTTAGTGTTCGAAAAGACTTAAAAATTTGAAAATTTGCTGAATTTTAAATATTTCCGAACACTGATCCAATTTAGTTTCGGCAGTTAGGCAGCTTAGATGATTTAGTTAAAGCTATCACGGCAATCTTAATTACTGATCCACCTTAATAAGATTAGCTGTTTGCGGGTCAGCCAATGTAATATATTGATAATTTCAAAGCTGATTGAAAGGGAGTGAAGTTTAGGACCATCCAGTTGTTAGCCCGTACTACTCCAGAGAGTTATACACTTAGAATTAAAATCTGAAATTGAAATATTTATGCCCAAACACAAACTGAAGCGTTTCAGGAGAACTTAGGGATGGTTGTTTTGACTCTGCGTTTTGACGTATGATTCCCTCTCATCGGGATTTTCAAGAGGGTCCTTCCGGATTACATTTTAATGAGATAAAATGTATTTATATGGTCTTACACTAGTGATAAAGTCGTTATCTTGAATTTAAATTTGAAATTATTTTTTTTCGCCGTCATGTCTTCCTTTCGCGGTGGTTTCAAGTGGATGAGTTCATTTCTGGTGAATTTGAAATTGGCCTTCACACGAAGAAGGGTTTTGATCCACTCTGTTTAAATAAGAGCTTTGAGTGTCTCTAGAGAAGGACTTGATGGAAATGCATTTGAACCTTAGAGCGAAGAATGAAAAAGAAAATATTGCCTCTGGCCTCGTTAAAACCACACTGGCGAACGCATTTGAAGATCTTTCGATCCAACCTATAAACCACTCAAAAACATGATTGAAAATGACTGCAAAGATGACACTGAAGACAATTGAAAAAGACTTTCAAAAGGAAGGGGTAAATGTATTTTTCAATTACTTAAAAACTCAAATTCTATTTTTGGAAAGCATGTGGATTGATAAAATGTGCAGTGGAACGCCAATAGCCGAACTCCATAAGATTAAAAGGAGTATTGACGGCGCCGGCCGGCCTCGGATTGGAGGTGTGGCGTTTTTGTAGCGACTAAGCAACTCGCAGATTATAAAGAGGTGAGTGAAGGCGGCAATTTATTAAAGACACGGTATTATTTATTACCTGAGAGGGGGAGAGGGGGTTCGGAGGATTTTGAGGGGGATCTTGTGGTTTTCATGAGCAACGATCAGGGGGAATAAGTCGTCGCTAACAGAGTATAATTGAAGTGGGGACTTTAAAAATTGACTGAAAATAAGGGTGGATTATTAGAATACTACCGAGCCTGCGGTTGGATTTTACTGTGATGCAACCAAAGTCCTGCACCCCCCCCCCTCCCCCCCGGGCGATAAATAACGAAAAGTTAAAGTCATTATCAATGAAGTCCGCAGGATATCGGATACTGTGTTGTGATTGGTTAATGTTCTTATAGATGGGAAAGGTATAGACAAGGTTTTCTCGTGAAGTAATTATAAAAAATTCTTTTACATTTGTAATAGCGTAACGAGTTAAAACTAAAACATAGGTTTGCTATCAGTTTCTATTCGTCCTAAGCCTTACAATAAATTTTGCCGTTAATGTGCTTTTTAAATTGTACGTTTGTACCACTGGGTTTCCTTCGAACAGACAAAATGTCATTCATGACCACCATATCGGTCAAAACTATCCATAATTGGCTCAATGTGACAGACATCATTCACAAGTTTCATAAAGTCATT